TGAAAAAACGGCTGTGAAAATGCTTAGAAAAATGTGAAGAGTGATGTGTGCATATGTTATTTCTACTTATTAAAAAGGTTGTCACATTAATAGAGTGCCTTTTGAGCCACTGTTGTGTAAATAAAAGCAATACCTTGGTACGCAGGAGAAAAGTCAAAGAGCCTAAACATCCACTAAAAATCACATTGGCAGTATATTTCTAAGACTGACCTATTTTCAAAGGAGCGTCAGGAGCACTGTCGGGTCTCTCTGAGAATGTGAAATATTCTATATTTGCCAAAGGGGTGATGGACATCAAGCAAGAGCAAGCCCGGGAGGGTTCGGTGGGCTGGTGTGGAGGGTCACAGGTCTGGGAGGTCTGGGCTGTGGGGGTTGCATGGGTGGTGGTGGAGCCAGAGCACCCCCAGCACTGCCCCTGTCTCCCATAGCCCCTTCATCTGCCTGTGGGCTGTGGCTCCTCTAAGACCTACAGGATGGCCTGCCTCTTGGGGGCAGGTGGTGGCTGCTGTCATCCCCTCTGGGTTCACCCAGGCGCTGGCAGAGCACATCCGTCAGAGCAGACCCCCGTTAAGGCTTGAAGAGTTAAGAACCGAGGGATGGGTGGAGGTGCAGAGAGACACTGGGGATGCCGGGGGAGCCCGCCAGGGAAGCTCCGAGGTTCTGGAGGCAGGTTGACTCACCGCAACCTGTGTGGAGAAAGAGGTCCCCTGGGTCAGCTTGCATGCAGGAAAGGTAAAGTTAATACCGAGAACCCCAGGAGGATGGGTAGTGGAGGAACCACCAACCCGAGGACGTGGTGTCTATGTTTACTGGAGAGGGACAGATCAAGCCCCACATGAAAAGGTAGCCACTCCCAGGGTGCCCAGTGGAACGGCGGCCGTGGGGCTGTGCCTGTTCTCGGGTGAGTGACGCTCCCACCACGCCGACTGGTGGGGGTGGCTGGTGCAGATACCTGAACCGGACGAGCACACCTGGGGCCCCTGCACCTTTGCACCATCCGAGGAGAACCCACTAGGACACTGGGAACATCTCTGATTGGGGCTGCCCAAGGGTCAGCCTGGTGGGGGTGGGCGGTTTGGCTGATGGTTTTCAAAGAGCAGATGTTTGCAGGAACTTTAGAACTAGTGAGACAGTTCTCACTGCAAAAGACAGGAGCTCCAGGAGAACAAAGAAAGACGAGAGGCCAATTTTCCCTTGGATGTTTTAATTTCGAGGAGGGGGACATTCAGCATGACCTTGGCACCAACCCACCAGATTTCCTTAGAAAGCTAGCAGGACAAGTGTTGGCCTCGTCGCTGGGATTCACATCTTAAATATTAAGTAAAAGGCACTGACATTTCCTCATAACTCTATCTAGGGAGGTGACTGGCCTTTAGCACTGGCCTCATCTATGCTGTAAGGGTTCTGAGACAACAGAATAATGCGCATGTTAGTTACCGGGAGTCCTGGCAGGAGAGAGGAGTAAGACAAAGCTAACACAAACATCCGCCTCACATGGGCAGAATCACATCCACAAGCGGGTGGCGTTTTCTCTGAGGGAGTTGCCCAACAAGAGCAGCATGGAGGTTGCCTTTTGGAAATGTATGCTGTAGTCTGGGCTTTGCTGTGTGACCTGGCAGGATTTGCTTGAGTTCTCTGGGCCCCATTTCCTTATTTTAAGATTGGAGCCAGTGTCTACTACACTTTGCTGAGTTGTTTCAAAAATCTGTTATCTCAAGAAAATAAGGACCTGAGCACAGGGAAGACGGGCTTGCCTGGGGAAACTGTCAGCCCGACAAAAAGGGAGCAGGCTGGTACTGACAGTGTCCCCTGCCCAGGATGGGAGGCAATGGGGTTGGTGAGGAGGGGGTCTTCATGGCCCAAACCCCATGGGCCCCAAACCAAAGGCCAAAAGCTACCATGCTGAGGAAGCTTACTTATTTTTCACTATTAGAGTGTAAAGTTGAACTGAAACTTCACTGCTGTTCCCTGCCCCTTTGAGATCCTCAGAGGTGGCTGAGGACCCAGATCACAGCTGAGCAGCAGCGCCTGGCTCCCTGGGAGGCTCAGGGGTCCTGGGAAGGTTCCTTCCCTGTAACCACAACAGTTTCTGCCTCTAACTGGGACACCTGGTGCCTCTACTGCAAGAATTAAGAATTATGGATTCCCTTGCACAGCTGCTAAAATACAAATTCTCCAGGTCACTGATAAAGTGGAAAGGCAAGGGGCATTGTTCTAAGGGTCCTTCAGTCATGTGAACACTAGCCTAAGAGAGGCTCTAAGCTTGGCAGCTCAGAGAGCTGACCCTGGAGCCAAACGGAAATCCCATGCAGCCCAGCTCCACCACCTCCTGGCCACATGACCTGGGACATCTATCCCTTCCTGCCCTGGATTTCTAACTATAACACAGGATGCTAATAACAGCACAACCTCACAGGGATGTTGGGAGACAACAGAACCAGACTGCACCTTCTTCGTTGGGCAGGCAGCTTCTCCAGCCAAGCCCATCTTCCTGTGCTCAGGTCCTTATTTTCTTTCTTTCTTTCTTTTTTTTTTTTTTTTTGAGACAGAGTCTCGCTGTGTCACCTGGGCTGGAGTGCAGTGGCACAATCTCGGCTCACTGCAAGCTCCACCTCCTGGGTTCACGTCATTCTCCTGCCTCAGCCTCCCGAGTGGCTGGGACTACAGGCACCTGCCACCATGCCTGGCTAATTTTTTGTATTTTTGGTAGAGATCGGGTTTCACCGTGTTAGCCAGGATGGTCTCCATCTCCTGACCTCATGATCTGTCTGCCTCAGCCTCCCAAAGTGCTGGGATTACAGGCGTGAGCCACTGTACCCAGCCCCTTAACAGATTTTTGAAACAACACAGCAAAGTGTAGTAGACACTGGCTCCAATCTTAAAATGAGGAAATGGGGCCCAGAGAACCCAAGCAAATCCTCCCAGGTCACACAGCAAAGCCCAGACTATAGCACACATTTCCAAAAGGCAACCTCCATGCTGCCCTTGCTGGGCAACTTCCTCAGAGAAAATGCCACCCGCTTGTGGATGTGATTCTGCCCATGCGAGGCGGATGCTTGTGTTAGCTTTGTCTTACTCCTCTCTCCTGCCAGGACTCCCGGTAACTAACATGCGCATTATTCTGGTGTCTCAGAACCCTTACAGCATAGATGAGGCCAGTGCTAGAGGCCAGTCACCTCCCTAGATAGAGTTACGAGGAAATGTCAGTGCCTTTTACTTAATATTTAAGATATGAATCCCAGTAATGAGGCCAACACTTGTCCTGCTAGCTTTCTAAGGAAATCTGGTGGGTTGGTGCCAAGGTCATGCTGAATGTCCCCCTCCTCGAAATTAAAACATTCAAGGGAAAATTGGCCTCTCGTCTTTCCTTGTTCTCCTGTTGGCTTAGATGGTGGGCAGTTGATATGGTGTGGATCTGTGTCCCCACCCAAATTTCATGTTGAATGTGATCCCCTTGTTGAAGGTGGGGCCTGGTAGGAAGTGGTTGGATCATGGGATGGATCCTTCATAAATGGTTTAGCACCATCCCCTTGGTGCTGTCTCATGGTAGAGTTCTCGTAAGATCTGGTTGATTAAACGTCTGTAGCACCTGCCCTGACCCCTTCCTCCTGTTCCAGCCATGGGAGAGGTGCCTGCTTCCCCTTGGCCTTCCGCCATGATTGTAAGTTTCCTGAGGCCTCCCAGGAAGCCGATGCCGCCGTGCTTGCCGTGCAGCATCTGTAGTCAACAGTCTCACACGCTGCCAGATAAGCTTCGTGCGTGCTTCTCTTCTTCTTTTATTATTATTTATTTATTTTTGAAGCAGGGTCTCCCTCTGGAGTGCAGTGGGGCAGTCTCAGCTCACTGCAACCTCCACCTCTTGAGCTCAAGCGATCCTCTTAGCTCAGCCTCTGAGTAGCTGGGACTACAGGCATGTGCCACCACATCCAGCTTATTTTTGCATTTTTTGTAGAGATGGAGTCTTTCTGTCTTACCCAGGCTGGTCTCAAACTCCTAGGCTTAAGCGATCTTCCTGCCTTGGCCTTCCAAAGTGCTAGGATTACAGCCATGTTCTTTTTTTAGAAAAATCTCAAAATTTGGCCTGGCACGGTGGCTCACGCCTGTAATCCCAGCACTTCGGGAGGCTGAGGCAGGTGGATAGCCTGAGGTCGGGAATTCAAGACCAGCCTGACCAACATGGAGAAACCCTGTCTCTACTAAAAATACACAATTAGCCGGGCGTGGTGGTGCATGCCTATAATTCCAGCTACTCGGGAGGCTGAGGCAGGAGAATCGCTTTAACCCGGGAGGCGGAGGTTGCGGTGAGCTGAGATCATGCCATTGCACTCCAATCTGGGCAACAAGAGCAAAACTCCATCTCAAAAAATAAAAAAATCTGAAAATCTTTACAGAAGTCACAGTCTTGGCATTTCCCACTGAAGGTTTATACCAATGATACTGCCCTCCATAATGCTTGTCATTCATTTGTGGTGAACTATGTGCAAGCCCAGGAGAAACAAAAGTCCACAGGGGCAGATCAGAGAAGCATCTTCAGCCTCAAAAGGACATACGTAAGTTGGGGGTGTGGGCCTGAGTAGCAAGGTGTGGGGAATCCACTGTGGCATCCACACCACACGTGACAATCCCTGCGAGTGCCAGGTTTCAGGGACACTCGGCTGAGGACGATCATTAGGATCCATCAGTGATCGAGGGCGTCGGACCCTGTAGCGGGGCCTCTTGGGCATCTTCCCATTTGAATGTCACACCCTCTATACGGCTGGGACTGTTACGATGATTTCTTTTACAAATGATGAAACCGAGGCACCGAGAGGCTCAGGACCTTGCTTAGGCGGCCCAGAGAGTGGGTGGCAGAGACGGGATTTGTGGTAGGCCCCTGGGTCCTGCGGTCACCCACATAGCACTGCTGCTGGTATCACGGAGCCAGTCCAGTGGGTGTGTGAAGCGACTGAACCTTCACCAGTCTGCCTGCAGTTTCCCCTCTGTGCCTGCTCATGGTTGCTTTCTCAGAAGGGAGGCTGCACGCCCCGTAAAGGGCCACAAAACCCAGACACATACACAAATCCACCCTTAGGCCAAATCCCGCTCTGCCGTCCCCATCACCGTGGGTGGCCAAGGCAGGACACGCATATCAGACGCCCCCACTCCGCACCCACCTTCCTGTCAGCTTGCGCCTCCTATTCGTAGAACCCCTGGTAGTTGAAGTTGTCGGACTGGATTTTAAAGTTGTATCTCCCATTCATTCTCCGGTAGTGCACAATCAGAAGGGTGGCTGCCCCCGCCACCAGTGTAAAGATGGCCACCACAAGGAGGACCAAATAACTGGCATCCAGGCCTGCTTCTGCACGTGGAGGCTCACCTGGGGGAGGAGGCAGGCACAGGTGAGAGATCTGCCCAAACAGGAGCAAGGCGATGGAGCAAGCCCTCTACCCGGATCTGGGGCTGATGGAGCTGAAGCACAGGGAGTGCAAGGCCCACGTGTGCACCCGTGTGCCTGTGGGTTACCAAAGGCGAGGCAGGTGTCCAAGCCCAGGACAGCATTGCAGTAAGGACAGCGCAGCCTGGGGAGGCCTGGGCCACGAGGGTGGGATGTAATCCCAGCTACTTGGGAGGCTGAGGCTGAAGAATAGCTTGAACCCGGGAGGTGGAGGTTGTAGTGAGCCAAGATCACGCCACTGCACACCAGCCTGGCGACAGAGTGAAACTCCATCTAAAAAAAAAAAGAAAGAAAAGAAAGAAAGAGAGAGAGAGAGAGAGAGAGAGAGAGGAAGGAAGGAAGGAAGGAAGGAAAGAAGGAAGGAAGGAAGGAAGGGAGGGAAAGAAAGAAAGAAAAGAAAGAAAGAGAGAGAGAATGTGGACCCTAAAAGACTTGAAGACAGGGATTCAAACAGCTACTTGCACACCCATGCTCACAGCACCAGCCGCAGGGTGGCAACAACCCAGGTGTCCGCCAGCTGGTGCATGAATCAACACACTGTGGCCCACCGTGCAATGGAACGTGAGGCAGCCGTGAAAGGAATAAAGCACTGACCCACGGCAACGCAAATGCACCTTGAAGATGTCACGCTGAGTGAAAGCAGTCAGGCCCCAGAGGCACCTATAACATGATCCTGTTCATAGGAACCACCCAGAACCAGACAGAAAGCAAATGAGTGACTTTCGGGGACAGGCAGAAGGCGGATGGGGAGGGACTCGTGAGTATGAAGTTGCGTTTAGGGCGAGGAAAATGTTTAGAAACTACAAGGAGTTGGTGGCGATACAACCCTGTCAATGCACTAAACATCACTGAGCGGTTTACTTTAACACAGTTAGCTTGAGGTTATATGAATGTCATCTCAGTTTCAGTTTTTAAAAACTGTGCTACCTGAGAAAGATGCCAGCTGCCTGCTGGCTCTCTGGCCGGCCCCCAACAGCCCAGGGGCAGACGTGACCCTCTGCCCACCGTGTGTGGGTGTAACTTGTTGTCAAGGGCATCTATAGCCAGGTCACAGCTACATCCTGCACCATGCAGTCCCCTCCGTCTCGGGGTGTTCATCCCCACGTATCAGGAAGGTCTGCTTTGGAAAGAGCCTTTCTATGCAACCAGGAGCATTTGAGATCCCATTTTCATTCCCTGTATTGATTTCCGGGCAGTCTGCCCAGAGTGGACACTGCTGTACAGCATGGGGGTGTCACCATCAGCAAAGCTGTCCAACAGTGGCACTGGGGGATCCCTGGGGTGCTGAACATAAGCCAGCTAGAACCGCACCACTCCTTTTCCGGAGAGAGGGACAGGGAACACCTCCCCCGCTCCAGCCAAAGTGACTCCAACCTCCCCAAGCAACTGAGGCCCCCAGATCCCGGCCCGCCACTTCTCCAGACAACTCCTAAATCATCATGGCCACTAAATCCAGCCCCCAGGGGCTCTATAGTGGACCTTCCTCCTGTGCCTCCAGAGACAGGCCACCTTGCCAGTACAAGGAGTGGGGGGTGCTGCCCTGAGGATGCTGTAGAGAAAGACCAAGGAGACCCGCTTCTCCTGGCCACTTGCAGCCCGGAATGGCCGCAGACTGTCAGCCCCGGGAAAGACCCAGCCCTGTTCATTCTCCGCCTCTCCAGCTAGGTTTCTGTGACCTGCAGCTGCGTGCTCCGAACTGAACCACTAGCTAAGGGCTGGCCACAGGAGGTCCGCAGGCCAGTGCTGCCCACTGACTGACACCAAAGTCCAGGAATGGTTACTCCCCATGGCTGGATTAGCTAGACGTGGAGAGCAAGCCCTGAGAACTGTGGATGGTAATTTCCCACAGTCATTGGCAAGGCATCCGGCCAAACAGGGCATCTTGCTGTTCAGGGAGGCTCCAGGCATGTGGCGTGAGTTGCGTATGCGTCATAACCGCTGGACCACACACCAGTCCATGATGCAGGGAGATGTAAATGATGGCGGAGACTCAGCAATGGCTGCTTTTGTAAAGGGGGATATAGCCCAGTGAGGGAAAGGGAAGATGGCATGTGGGGCTTAAAACCTAGATGATGGTTTGATGGGTGCAGCAAACCACCGTGGCACATGTACACCTATGTAACGACCTGCACGTTCTGCACATGTATCCCAGAACTGAAAGGAAAATAAAAAATTGCCAGGCACGGTGGCTCACACCTATAATCCCAGAACTTTGGGAGGCTGAGGCGGGCGGATCACAAAGTCAGGAGATCGAGACCATCGGGGCCAACATGGTAAAACCCCCATCTCTACTAAAAAACTACAAACAAACAAAAGAATTAGTCAGGTGTGGTGGCGCATGCCTGTAGTCCCAGCTACTCAGGAGGCTGAGGCAGGAGAATTGCTTGAACCCGGGAGGCAGAGGCTGCAGTGAGCCGAGATCGCACCACTGCACTCCAACCTGGGCAACAGAGCGAGACTCTGTCTCAAAAATAAATAATTAATTTTAAAAATTAAAAAAGAACCTGGGTGCAGAGGAAACAGGGCCCTTCCAGGGGTTTGAGTCCCAACTCAGCCACCGCCTGGGGTCCTCAGTCTCCTCACTACTGAGTGGCCTCAGTAATTGCCCCAGGCCCTTCCTGCTGGGACACAGAGCACTCCCTGGACACTATCCTCGAGCTTTCTTGGCCATTTAGCACAGGGACATGCTCATGAATATGAAATAACTAGGCCAGCTAGGAAAGGCCATGGAAGGTTTCCAAACACTGAATATGCAAAAATTATGATGCTGATATACTATTTGTTGGTAGCAGACATTCGGGGAAGATGCCCAAAGGGATTCATTCTTAAATTGTCAATATACAGGGTTGAATTGTGAACCCCTCACCGCCTGGAAAAACAGATATGTTGACACTTTGGGAGGCCGAGGCAGGTGGATCATGAGGTCAAGAGATTGAGACCATCCTGGCCAACGTGATGAAACCCCATCTCTACTGAAAATACAAAAATTAGCTTGGCGTGGTGGCCCACACCTGTAGCCCCAGCTAGTCTGGAGGCTGAGGCAGGAGAATTGCTTGAACCCGGGAGGCAGAGGTTGCAGTGAGCCAAGATCACGCCACTGCACTCCAGCCTGATGACAGAGCGAGACTCTCTCTCAAAGGAAAAAAAAAAGAGACAAAACAAAAAACATATATGTTGAAATCCTAACCCCTAGTACTGTGGGGCATGGCCTTATTTGGAAATGGAATTGTTGCAGATTCAAGCAGTTAAGATAAAGCCACACTCAGGTAGAAAGGCCCCTAGTCCAACATGACTGGCGTCTTTATAAAAAGAAGGCCATGTGCACACGGGGGCACAGACTGGAGGGAGGTAGCTACAAGCCAAGGTCCACCAAAGATTGGGCGCATCCAGCAGAAATGAGGTAGGGGCAAGGGAGGACTCGGCCTTACAATGTTCCGAGGGACTGGGGCTTTGCCAGCACCTTGATTTTGGATGTCTGGCCTCCAGAACTGGGAGAGAACAGAGTTCTGTTGTTTAAGCCACACAGGCTGCGGGACTTTGTTATGGTGGTGCCAGGACATCGTGAGTGTGATGTGAGGGCTGGGGTGGAGGGAAACCTCAAAATGAAGCCAGCCCAGTCCCCAGGGGACAGGGAGAGGACAGCAGGTTATGAATAGCCTGGATCTGCACTCGCAGGCCCAGCTCATGCGGGCACCAGCTGTGGGAGCTTAGGCACATTCCCTAAAATCTCTGAGTTCTTCTCATTTCTTCCCTGAAGTGGAGCTGATGGTGATGGCAGGGACAAAGCATGGGAGCTCAGAGGCCGTGGATAGTGGTGAGGTCCTGAGGAACCTGTCTGCCAGCCTCCTCTCACCTCTGCAGTCTCCAACAGCGTTTCTGTTAATATACACTATTAAAATGCAGCGAAGTCCCCACCAACTGGGAGATTCCATGTGTCTAAATGATTCTGTTGTGTATTTGTATGATAATCATAGATCAAGCAAAAGCTACTAACACAATGAGAAAGAATGTTGAACAACATGAATATCTACAGTCCTTGTTCTTGAGTCTGAGTAATTACACCCCTATTACATTCGGTACTTCCTGCCTTGGTTATGCCAGTGTAGTGCTCTACTGGTTACAAGTGAAAAGTAACACTTAATCAATAACTTCTATGGGCCAGGCTCTTTATAAAGTAGGAATTATTATTATTCCCTTTTCACAGATGAGGAAAATAAGGCACAATTCACATGCAGCATGCACAAAGCCACAAAATTGTTAAGTGTCAGAGCCAAGTTGTGAATCCAGGGAATCTAGTTTCAACCTCACAAATCTTAGCCTCACAAAGGATTCTTAGTCACCGTTAGACACTCACAACAACCTTATGAGGTAGGCAGGGCATGTTGCAAAGAAAAATCAGAGTGTCTGAAACATAGTAGATGAATGAATTCATGAATAAGTAGGTGGATGGATGAGTGAGTGGATGGATTAATGGACAGATAGATGGATGATGGAGGATGGATGGATAAATGGATGGATGGATGAATGAAGGGATGATAGAAGGATAGATGATAGATGGATGAATGGATGATGATAGATAGATGGATGACAGATGGATAGATGGATGATAGTTGAATGAATGGATGGATGGATGATAGATGAATGGATGGATGGACGGATGATGGATGGATGATAGATGGGTGGATTAATGAATGAGTGGATGGATGGATGATCAATGGATAGATCGATTGATGGATGGATGATAGATGAGTGGATGGATGGATGATAGATGAATGAATGGGTGGATGAATGGATGACCAATGGATAGATGGATGGATAGATTATAGATGAGTGGATGGATGAATGGATGGATGGATGGATGATAGATGAATGCATGACAGATGAAGGATGGTAGATGGATAGATGAATGAATGGCTACATGTATGGATGGATGGATGGATGGATGGATAAATGATAAATGGAAAGATGAGCAGATAGATGTATGGGTGGATGATGGATGAACCACATAGCTCATAAGTGTCAGAGCCTATAATCAAACTCCAAGTGTAGTGCTTTTCTTCCCTAGTTATGACATTCCCTATAATATCAATGAATGAAGGAGGAAGTTTAATTTCTATTCATGAAAGAACACATTATCTATTAATGAGAATGTATTTCACACATATGCTATTTCTTATAGTGTTAAAGAAATAGGTTGACCCGTTCTTCCCAGCAATTTAAGAAAATGAAGAGTGAGGAGAAGCAGGTTGTCCTAGCACCTTGACCAACAGTCACCTGATGACCAGCTCAGGGGCCTGGGACACAACTCTGAGATTCTGAGTGTGTAGTCCTGGGGTGTGGCCTGGGACCTGTGTCTACTTTTTCAGTTTCCCAAATGCTTTGGATGAGAACCAGCAGTTCAGTCACCGGCCAAGACTTCCCTCCTCCTGTTCCTCAGCTTCATGGCCAAGACCTGAGCAGCATTCAGATTCCGGTTCACACCCTGCATCCAAACCTCAGAAGTTCTCATACAGGGAGAGAAGGGAGAGGGTCACCACGATTAGGGAAAAAAACAACAAAAAAGGAAAACCAACTAGGATTAGGCTAAGCAGCAAGAAAGAGGAAAAAAATCAAAATAGCAGTGGCTTAAAGCACATGGAAGTTTCTTTCTTTCTGTCATAAAAATGGGGGCCATGCTGGGCACGGTGGCTCACACCTGTAATCCCAGCACTTTGGGAGGCTGAGGCGGGCAGATCACGAGGTCAGGAGATTGAGACCATCCCAGCTAACACGGTGAAACCCTGTCTCTACTAAAGATACAAAAAATTAGCTGGGCATGGTGGCGGGTGCCCGTAGTCCCTGCTACTTGGGAGTCTGAGGCAGGAGAATGGCGTGAACCCAGGAGGCAGAGCTTGCAGTGAGCCAAGATTGCGCCACTGCACTCCAGCCTGGGTGACAGAGCGAGACTCCGTCTCAGAAAAAAAAAAAAAGTGGGGGGTCGAACCCAGGCCTGCCTTGGCCACTTGCCCACAGTGTCCTGGGGAAGCCGGATCCCTCCACAGACTGGGCCACATCGCCCTAAAGAAGAAAGAGGCAGAGGACAGGCACAGACGTCTTTTAAGGAGGGTGCACCGCTAAAAGTTGTCACATGACTTTCCCACTTAGATCTCATTGGCCAGAACTTACTTACATGGCCGCACTTAGCTGCCAGGTTGGAATTACAGTTTTTATTCCTGGCAGCCACGTACCAGCAAAAGCTGGGGTCGCTATTCCTGTGAAAGGGGAGGAGAACAGATACTACGGGACAACTAGTGGTGTCTCTCTTAATACCCAAAGCACACAATTTCCCCCAAACCAATGTATTTTTTTCAAAATAAGATGATGGACTATACAGAAAATAAAATGTTTTTCTGGAAAATTGATGTGGAGTTTTGAAAATACATGCAATGTAATTGGCTGATGGAAGTTTTAAACTGAGGACGAACAGACATGCCATTTTTTGCATCTTTTGAATAAAATAGCTTTTTCTTGTGCATGCATTTGTGCGTGCGTGCACACACACACACGTTGACATGGTCTGATTATAGCTTGCGTTCTTATCTCTTAACAACCCACTGGGTGTATCATTTACCCAGTGTCAGAAAACTTCACCAGCCTGATATTATGCAGCTCAAAACATTTCATTATGTAACTTTGTGCCTGGCCTTTTGAAGTCTCAGTGTTTCCATCTGTAGCATGGGTACAGTAATAGCTCGTGCTCCTAGGGTTGCTGAGAGGATCATATTACATTCTGCATGTGAAGAACGTAGCGCCAGGCTGACACATAGCAGCTCTCAGTGAACAGTAACTATTAGTATTTCTATTATTATAAGCCTCTTAGAAGTCTCTCAAGAGTTCTGCATTTCAAAACAGTTGCTTTTTGTTTATATGCTGGTGAAAAGGAATTGGTTGCATCTTTTCTTTCGTTGTCTAAACCAAGTCATCAACTCACCTTCAGACCTGACGAGGGGTCCCCAGGACATCTGGTGTGTGGCAGAGGTTTCACTATTTTGCAGCAACCGAAAGTTATTGCAATTCTGGTTTTTTCCAAGGAGAGAAACATCAAATTAATTGAACAACACTTACGAGAAAGGAGCTACTATCAAGGATGCTAATGTGATTCATGCGATTTTATCCTGCTAGAAGTTGCAAGGCAAGGGGGCTAAGATTAGACAGAGGAGTGGGAGACCCGGTGAGACCAGGGTGGTGGGTCCTGGTGCAACAAGAGGCAGGCCCAGGCGTCAGCGGGGAAGGAGGCGAGGTCTGAAAGAGCAGCAGGCTCGAGGAGACCCCTTGAGCTGCTTTTGGTTCCTAGAGCTGCTTCCTTGGGTCCCTTGAGGACTGCGTCTTGGTCACAGCCCTAAGAGTCCCTCTGTGTTCTCCAAAGGCCGCTGCAGCCATTTGCTCCCCTCTACACCTCTGCCTTACAAGAAAGACTGCCCGGCTCAGTGACATGGTAGGATCTGCTCACTAGATGCCTGAGATGGGCTGCAACATGTCCTCCAAAAAGGTATGGAAGTCCTAAATCCCAACACCTGTGCATGTGACCTTATTTGGAAACAGATAATCAAGCTGAGGTCATCGGGATGGGCCCTAATCCACTATGGCTGGGGTCCCTATGTAAAGGGGAAATTTGGACACAGACATAGATGTGTACTGAGGGAAGGTGATGCAAAGAGACAGGGCAAATGTCGTCTACCAGCTAAGGAACGCCTGAGGCCACCAGAAGCTGGGAGAGAGGCCTGGGACAGATCCTTTCTTTAGAGCTCTCAGAGGGAACCAGCCGGCTGACACCTCCATCTTGGACTTCCTGCCTCCAGAATCAAGACAACATGTCTCCACTGTTTAAACTGTTTAAACCGTTCAGTTTGTGGTACGTTCCTACAGCAGCCTGGAAAGCTCATACACTATCCACTCTAAAAGGGCTCTAAAAGGGCTTGAAAAAAACAGTGTGCCGCTCCTCTTGTAAGGAATCCTCTTATAAAGAACTTGAGAGCCAGCCACTCCCTGCAGAGACCAAGCCTGGCAGTGGCCGTCCGTGTGTCTGTCACCTCTGAGGCTCCGATGGAACCAGGGGCAGGCTCCTCGTGTGTGGCCCTCAGCTTGCTGTCTGTCCCATTGCTCAGGAAGATCTACCGTTTGAGCAAAACGGACATGAACAGAATCAGCCTTCCTTGTGTTGCTTCTCTATCCACGTCCCGCAGACGCTCAGAGCTCGGTCACCCAGGAAAATAGCTGCGTTCTGCGACACATGCTCAGACGAGCACAGGAACAAGCACTCCCTCCGAGGAGAGAGAAGCATTCGGTCACTGAGCAAAAAGCAGTGTGCACCCTAAGCTGTCCCCTGCCTCAGACGACAGGCGACCAACACGTGGGAACCGCATGTACTTGTCTGTGATATAAAGCACAGCTTTCAGACCTCAGGATTACAAAACCTATTTCAAATTCGAAAGTCTAAGGAAACGGGAATGTAAAATTGGCCCTGCCTAAATGTTGAAGAAAGGAAAGGGGAAAAGAACTTTATTAAATAACAGAGTGGCTGATATTTAGTATGTTCCATCAATGTGGTTAAAAATAATATTTAAAAAACATTTTTACACCTAAAAATCACCTTAGAAGCACTAGGTATCATGGCAAGGCAGTGCCGATGTGACAGCCGGTTGAACATTATGGCCTCAAAAAGGAAATTAGCTCAGCCACTGAGAAATGGGAAATGCCCACCAGTTCACATGAGTCCTCCATGCAAGGGCTGCCTGCTGTGGAAATACCATTTCAGACGCAGAGTCTGCAGGACAGGCACAGCGACTCCTCCCAGAGGTCGGCCCCGAGCCACTCGAGCCCCAGGCTGCTATTAACAGAGCCTTGCATCATAACGATAAGCAATGTGAATCCAACCAAACGTTTAGAAAACCAAAAACACACTTACGATTTTGCACGTGGCCCCGGGGGATTCCATGCAGATGCGGAGTTTGCAGTGCAGGTAGACGATGGAGTTGTTGATAAAGGAAAAGATTCTCAGCTTGAACTGAGCCTTGCTGGAGTTGCCATTCTCAATCACGCTGGTGTATGTGTTGGGCACCGGGCAGCTGAGAAGAGAGGAAAAGGGACTCCTTGCTTGTCAGCGAGTCCTGCTGTCCTTGTTCTCAGATAAGGTTGCTCACAACTACATCTGACAATGCTCACAGATCCCACAGGCTCCATGGGAGTCGAGGACCGGCCACCTCATTTATTCCCCAAAACCCAGGTCCATGACAGCACTTGCCTGAAAATCCTGCAGAGTCCAGAGCCAGCCACACAGCCAGGCCAGGCAACGGCAGTGCCCGCTTGAGCCCTACCCATTCTTAATGAAGCCACAAGCATTGCTGGATGGGGGTGCCTGCACTCCTGAGCCCTACCTGTTGTTAATGAAGTTAAAGGTGACCGGGTCCCGGGCGTTGCTGGACGGGGTTGCCCAGCACTCCGTCAGGACCACCTTGAGGTTGCTTTTCTGCCTGTAGAGCCCCACTTCGATCTTGACGTCGTCACTGGCAGACACGCTATAATTCTGAGGTATGGGAGAGTCCCCGATAAACAACTGCATTTCGGTAACAAAATTTCCAGCGCCGTGGAGGTCCTCAATGATGGTGTAAACCCTGCAAGAGGAAGCAGCTTGCAGGAGGTGGCTTTCAGGTGTATTATCGTGGCCCCTCTCGTTCCCACTTCTCCCCCAAAACACAGCTCCAGAGGAGCGTGCAAATGAATGAGAAGATCCCCCACTGCCAATGAGAGCACACGGAGGCCATGTGTTCAAGACTGGCTGGTCCAGGGGTTGCCTCCCTCACTTGTGTTGGTGGAGACTCAGTGGCAGGTGGGGGGGCCACCTAGCATAGGAATAGTGGTGTCTGGTGGAGGCCGTGGGTGGGGGCCTGCCCGTGGCTCACTGGAAGTGGGGCCATCCCATGGGGTTGGCCAGGGACGTATTTGGCCTTGTCTGGCTGGCCCTGAGTGGGAAGTGGGAACAAAGGTTGGGGAGCAGCCCAGCCACACCCATTTGTATATTCCATCTCAAAGGAAGGGTCCTTAAGTGGTTGCAACCCTAAAGAACTCTGAAAGCGCAGGTGCTCTAGAGGCACGGGGCTGTGGAACAACGGGGGCATTTCTCCCTCACCCCCACTCCGGGGTGAAGCCGGAGGACGTCAGCAGATCATTCTGGAAGGCACAGTAGATGGGGCTCAGGATCTTCAGGTGGTGGATGATGCCCTCCGGGGACAGGTCGTTCCTCAGCGTGGTCCTCACCACGGTGTTCGTCACATTCTGAGCACAAAGTGGGGTGTGAGGAGCTCCCAGGCCCCAGCCGGCCCCCCACGCCCTGCTGTCAGCCATGGCCCTAGGTGCTGGGGGGACCGGGGATGGGGATTCTTCTCTAGAGCTTCTCCCCAGGAGCACTGAGACCCTGGCGATTCTCCCAACCATAAATCGCCCAAGAGAGCCTAAGGGCTCGGCCTCTGCCCTTTCCCTGTGGACCAGAGGAGGCAGAACCTGAACCTGTGTGGATTCTGTGGCCGTTGCACAAATAAGTCTTTCTGGGAAACTTAGTTTTTGACAAGTGTCAAAAACCATCAAGAGCTCCTGTGGATTCCAGGGCCTGGGTGACTCATCAGAGACAAATTTCCCTTTTCTTTCAACATGCCCCAAACCCTGCTGCATTTAATAATCAAGCCAAGCATGGGTCTAGCTCAGAAAAACACAGAGGGAGCTGCCGGCTGCAGGCTCCGCCCGGGGCCCCAACCCTGGGAGGCGCTGCCGCCCCCCTGGAGCTGCTGGTGTGTGGGTGGTGCTCTGAGCACCAGGCAGGGTGTCCTGCACCCTCAGCCCCTCCACTCAGCCCCACAGCCCTGCACAGACTTGAGGATGCCACAGTGGCCCGCTCATGTGCACCTCTCACCCCAGACCTCCCTCACCACGGAAGCTGCCAGAAGCCACAGGAGCCACTGATCACTGCCCATCCCCCTTGCAGACATCCCCCCTGCTGCCATCGCCCGGCCTCCAGGTGGCTGTCTAAGAATCTCTGAGGGAGTAAACTAATTCTGGGCAGTTCTCCTTAAGTCATGCAGTTTGAGGGGTTGAGGGATGAGGAAGGTTTTGTAGCTGTTGAAACAGTGCAGGTCACTCCTTCAGCCCAGGGAGGGTCCGAAGAGCCCCCGAGGGAGCGGAACGAGCTCAGCAGAGTGAGCTGCGCCTCTCAGGCAAGCTTGTGCTCTGCAATGTCCTCGAACACGTCCATGTGAATCCCTCAGCTTCCTGGCCACCCTCAATCCCTGCTCCAGGCTCCAAGCAGGCTCCACACCATGGAACCACCTTATGTCTCCACCTCCCCACCTCATCCCTCAGCCTCTGGGGCTTTCTGGCCTCTGCCCCCCAGGGCTAGCTCCTTACTCAGCCCCGAGGTCCACGTCCCAGCCTCCCGCTCAGGATGTTCACCTGGTTCCCACCTTGTTGACTCCCAGACATTGACACCCCATGCCGGACTCTGAGTTTCATCTGCCAGCTTTACCCCACCCAGGGCCAGAGGCCACCGTGTCCCCACTAGGGAGTGTGTCCAGAGCCCCAACCAGAAGCAGCGCCCCCTCAAGGTTTCTCAAGAGGCAGAGCCACAGAGATGGGGCTGCTTCTCGGTGCAGGGCGACTTCGAACCTGAACTCCCATGGACCCTGCTGAGCACCCAGGGCTCAGCCGCCGAGTGTGGATGATGATGCCTGACCCATGGGGTCACTAAGGGACTAAACATCGTCATGCATGTAGAATGTAGAACTCCCAGTCAGGCAGGTCCACGGCAGTTTCAGGGCACCACACCTCCCAATCCCTTTTTTTTTCCAGAATGCAATGCCGTGGACTGTTCAAAGGCCCTGAGGGACAGAAGCCCAGGGCCCAGAGTTCCTGCCAACGACCAGGAACCACCATTCCTGCCTAGCTCCCAATGAGGACAATGTCCCCATTAGGAAAGCCTTCTGGCCCTAGCTCCTGGGCCAGCCAGACACTGCTCCCTGCTCAGCCCCATCCACAGCCTCACCTTTCACACCAGGCCTCATACTCCACCCTGCCCACGAGTCCACCCTTCCATCCCTGCCCATCTGGCCAGAACCACTTGGGCAGACTCTTAACTCTGCCACGGTTTCCAGCCTCCCTCATCTGGCCGTCCCCGGCATGGCCCTTGGATACACTCACGGCTCTCTCACTCACCCTTGGAACGACGCTGGCCTTCTTTCTAGGTCGAGCCCCTTCCCAGAAGGCCACTTCCCCAACTCAGAGCTGGCATGGGCTCCCTCTGAAGCCACCGGCCCCTCCATGCAGCTTCCCTGATCAACCCTGCACGCCCAGGCCCATGCAGCCCAGGCCCCTGTGCCCAGTACCGGGCTGAGCTGATGGAAGGTGCTGGCTCTCCCCTCCTCTTGTCCCCGCAGCAGGGTCCTGAACATGAAGCCTTTGTGTTCTGTGTGGGGCCAAGTGGGGTTGGGGACGAACGAGGGCATGCGTGGGAGCATTCACCGTGACACAGGGGCACCCTGGGAAGAAGTGGGACCTGGAGCCAGGTCGGCCACCTCGTGGGTGCCACACACTAGAGGCTCAGAGTAGACCCAGGACCCACTGGCCCAGAGTCACCTGCAAGGGGAGATGCCGGAGCTCATCTGTGCACACGGAGGTGCAAAGGCCTCAGGCCAAGAAAACCTGCTTTCCCTACCTGGGCTCCCTCTGTCCTGGGAGCCCTGCAGCCCGTCCAGGACCCTGAAATAGAGTGTTTGCTAGGAACACAGTCCCTCCAACAGGAGAGTTCTGACTAATGCCACCCAATGCCCCCCAAACACACACCCATACATACACACTCACACACGGACAAACACATCCATATATGCTCAACTCATGCACACATGCACATACACACATTCTCACATTCACACACTCACACATTCATACATGCATGCACACCCACACGCACATAAGCATGTGATACACATGCATGCACACACGCACGTACATACAAGCACAGCCATGCATACATACATACACATTTGCACACACAGATTCACACATGTACACACATTCACACACATACACACATTCACACACATGCACACCCCCACATACACAGACATATTCAGACGCATGCACACATGCACAGATGTATACTCGCACACACACACTTTCGCACACACACACTTTCACACACACACTCTCATATCCACACACAACTCCTTGGCTTTCCTGCCTCTTCCTATCCCGCTGCCCCTCCATCCTGTCTGTGCAGGGAGGAGTTTTAAGCCCCGACTCTGGAGCCTGTCCCAGCACTCGGCACCAGAGTCCCTCCTGGGTGGACTCACAGCTCCCTTCCGATTCTGGGGTGCAGGCTGGTCCCTGGTTGAGAACTCAACCCTGTCCTGACCCCCCCTTGCTGGGTTCCCCTCGGGGTGTAGAGTCTTGCCTGGCCCTCCCCTGTAGACCCCCTGTGCCCTAGCGTGCATCCTGAGCCTGGCTCTCCTGGCCTTACGCTCTGCATGACGGTCCCGCACTCGCTCCAGCCGGCCTCCAGGAGCACGTGTGTGCCATTGCTGTGGCTCACGTTGCAGGAGGGGTGGCTCAGGTACAGCGAGGACTCAGGGATGGATTCCTGCTGCAGGAAGCGCTTCTGGATGGCGACAACCACCTTCTCGATCTCACAGAGCACCCTGACGGCTCCCGTCAGGTTCAGCCGCCGGGGCAGGCCTTGTGGGGTGGGGCTGGTGTCTTGAACAAAGGCAGCCTTGGTCCCTGCTGTGGTGAGAGGCCTCTCTGGGCTGGTGGCCCAGGTTTCGTTGCCATGAGAGTCACCTGCAAGGCACAAGGAGGAAAAGGCAAAGAGTGGCTCTGTGTTTGGCGTTGGCATGGAGGGGCAGGGGTAAGGAGCAGACTGGAGCTGCCCTGCACTCCGCAGCAGCCACACCTGGGAACCGCATGTTCCAGCCACAACTACACGTGTGCGCACACACACACACATGCACACACATGCACCCACACATGCACACAAGCACACACGCACATGCACACGCGCACGTAATGCACACACATACACACATGCACACACATGCTCACACATGCACGTACACACATATGTGCACACATGCACACACACGCACACACATATGTGCACACATGCACACAAGCACACACGCACATGCACACGCGCACGTAATGCACACACATACACACATGCACACACATGCTCACACATGCACACACATGTGCACACACATATGTGCACACATGCACACACACACACACACGCAACACATACACGTGTTGCATATCTCCACCAGCTCAGGGAGCCAGGCTCACCATGGGCCCCCAAACTCACTATGGGCCCCCAAGGGCCAAGGACCGAGGGACCTGATGCCGGGGATGTGCCAAGCCAGTGGACACACGGTGAGTCTTCTGCTCTCAGAGCCCTGAGTCTGTTCTCTAAGATGGGGTAATGATGCCTCCTCTTGAGGTCCTTGTGCCCAAGTTTCCCACTCCAGCTCCCTTCTTGCCCCCAGAGCAGGTTCAGTTTCAATGCCTAGGAGAACAAGGGGTCCCGGAAAGGCTTCCGATCCACCCACCCGTTCTCGGGGTGCTCCCTCCCTGGTCTATATGGCAGCAGACCCCAGACACAGCTCCGCACGTGCCCTGCACCCTCCTTCAGCAGTGGCTCCGGCATCTGTGGGCCTGGTTTGTGCCTTCTTTGATCTCAGAGTGGGGCTCGCCCAGCCCCAGCACCCTGCAGCTCCACCCAGCTCACTCCTGTCTCCAGGCTGTAGTCCAAACCATTGCTGAGGCCTTCACAGTTGGCTGCTGCCTCACCCGCCTCCCTGGGCAGCCTGCTTCCTGCTCTCTGCCACCCATCTCCTGCAGGTACCTGCTTGTGAGATCATGCCCGTCAGCAGCTCTGTTCTCACCATGGCACCCACCCACCATGCCCTGCCCTCCCCGCTGGGTGCTGTCTTAGCTATCCGTTAAGACCAGCTTCGAGACACCCCTTCCAGGAAGCCCTCCCCGGCCACACTCCCTGGACTGAAGCAACTTAGCCTCCTCTGTGCTTCCTGATTCTACCTCAAGCAGGACACGTTCTACAGCCCCCTGGATACTGCCCTCACTGGTATAAACGTCCACCTCCCTTTACTTGACGCAGATTCCTGGATAGCAGTGGGCATCTTGGGGTCAGCGCTAAATCCACTAAGACCCCGTTTTTCAGGAAAAGAGCTGAGTGGAAAGATTGGCTGAGAGGAAATCTTCCTCTTGTGTCGCGTGTCTCACGGCTGCGTGTTTCACAAGACGGTCGCTCAGCATCTGCATGTTCACACCTCATGTATGTGTGTATTTTCTCTTCATGGATATCAGAGCTAGCTCTCGGAGAGATAAGGCACTGCCCAGAAGCCTGGACATGTATGAAAGAATGGGAAGGAACGTGCACACGCATGTACACACACATACACATACACCTCACACACACACGTGCACCCACATCACACGCAGGAAACTTCCCCAGGACACAGAAATATGACCTCATAGGGACAAGAAGCCCTTTGCACGTGAATGTCCTTAAATAAAACTGATTATGAGATAGTATTCCAGAAAAAGAAACGCTGACATCATTACCTTCACAGGGTCTGCCAGAATATTCCACAGGGAAATCAGGGGCTCCTCTCTCACAGCTACAAGTGAAAGACCCGAGGGTGTTTCGACAGGATGTTCCGGGCACACAGTCGTCCTCCTTCCTCTCACACTCATCGTAATCTGCCAATATTTAGAACACAAAACAGAAGAACATCCCTGGGGTCTTGTAGGCTCACAGAAGCCTCAGGGGAGAGTGCATCTCCCAGACAAAGCTGGAAACTCCAGCCAGAGCAGACTGCGGTGAAGCTGGCCAGTTCTGGAGAGTACAGGAGGCTTCCTGCCGGCGGGGCTGGGAATGGCTAGGGAGGTCTGCAGGGGCTCTTCTGGAAAGAGGATTCTGGCCCAGAGCTGGGAGGGAGATCTGGGCAGAGGAGGGCCAACCCTTCAGTTCCCAGGAGTGACCAGGAGATGCACAGGCCCTCAGACCAGGCCGCAAGCCCAACCCTGGGCAGAAGGCCCTCAGGCCATTTGCCTTTCACCATGATGCTCGGTTGATTATTGACAGCAAAACAGGTTTACTGCAGAACATGGACAAGTACCAGAAAAGCATGACCAGGGGCATGTTGGCATGTGGACATATTTCCTTCCGGCCTTTCAAAATACAGGCATGCTCTGAGAGCATAGCTTGCCTCTGCCACCACCTAGCTCCATGCAAATCCACAAACCTCGATTCTCATCATTGCACAACAGCTCAGGGCAGGGACACCTGGTAACTTAGCACCTTCTCTGTAACTGGATGATTGGGACTTCCAACTCTTTTGCTTTTAAAGTAACACTGAAGATGAACATCTTTGTATGTAAACTATGGTCCAAACTGAGATCAAATTGGGATATTTCAGAATCTGATATTTCAGAATCAAGGTGGATGGCCACTTTGAAAGCGCTTGATTTATATCACCAAACTGGTTTCCAGGAAGCGTGAGCAAATCCTTCTGCCACCAGCAATCTGTGCAAACACCTGCCTCACTACACTTTCACCAGTATTCATGTCAGCAGTAAAAAGACCTTTTTTTGCAATTTGATGGGCAAAAAGTGCAACGCATTTTAATGGGGATGTCTTGGGTTACCACATCTTTGTTAGTCATTCATATTTCTTATTTTATACCTTGTCTGTGTAGATCTTTCGTGCATTTATCCATCAGGTTCTTAATATTTATCATCTATTTGTATGATCTCTCTATATATTTGGGATACTAACACTTCATCAAATTATTGAATTTTTTTTGTTTACTTTGCTTTAAAATGGTGCCTTTATTTTGATTTATCTCTGCATGTAGTCAGTATCTCATCCTTTTCCTCTGAAAATCGTATTTTCTTTGAGAAGTCCTTCTTATTCTAAAAATCAAAAAATTAACATTAATCTTCAATTTTTAAAAGGTCTTTGGTTTCTGATACATGTAACTATAAGCCATTCATCATCTATTTTCAAGTATGATAGGAGAAAAGAATCTAAATTTTCTTTTTCTCCCTGCTTTTCTCGTTAATTATTTTTATTGGGATCTCCTTGGGAACTGTGCTTGGGAGAGGGTCTGGTTGCAGAGAGGGATGCGTCTGCCCTCAGCCCATGGAAACAAGCAGCAGGGGAGCAGTAGACCCCAAAAGAAAGCAGCACCCCTGGGCATCTGCAGGTTTACCCGAAGATGTTTTCAACACTTCAACTTTTACAAAATTATAATCACAATAAGAGGGACAGAGAGGGTCCTGTCTATTTCACAGCTTCATCTAATTCCGGGGGAAGAAGGACTACATGGGCACAACACAACATCTTTCAAAAGCGAAGGGTAGTGGCTGCGCTCTGGCTGCCTCTGGTTCCGGAACATGGGAGAAGCTCAGTCCCATCCTCTCATACCCTGTATGAAGGTGTCGCCTCTGATCACCTCCAGCAGAGGCACGGTCTGGAAGGCGGTGAGGAATGCAGCTGACACCTCCTGGACATCCACATCTGCGATTATCAGCAAGTGAAACTCCACCACGACGCTGCCATTGGTGACGCCGACGACTTCCATCCTGACCCCGCCGGCGTCCATGTGCTGACGCAGCGTGGCTGGCAGGGAGCCCCGCACCTGTGAGGAAAGAGGCCATGTGAGGAGGTTCCCACACTGAGAGGAAACAGATGCCCGTCTCAAGGCGGTTCCTCCTGCCAGTCTGCCCAGCAGCAGGGCTGGCCCATAGCACAAAGGTAAAAGCCACAGGTTGGTTCTGGGCCCCTTTCCTGTCTGCCACGTTTTCAAGCCCAGCACAAATGCCTGGGAGTGTCTGTGATATGAGAACAGCCCTTGTTTCCCCCAAAACCAGCAAACAGCTTCAGAAAGATGCCTGTGGGGTAAGTATAGGACTTGGGACACAGGCAGAGACCCTACCTCATGGGGCTTACAATTTGCTGGGGGCTCACAAGGGCTTCTAGAACCTAATACTCCTGGTTTGCAGCCACCGAGGGCAGGAGGCTGAGTGTGGGGTCGTGGGGAGGGACACCACTCCCACTGCCTTCTCTGGAACAGCTCTTTTGCTGCTGACACTGCAGAACATGTCCCCTTTCATTCTCCCTCCCTGCCTGCCCCCAGACTCTTCCAGTGAGCATTTCCAACATCCCTATTAGGACAGGGGGTTCCTGCCCCCAAATGCCCCACTTTCTACTCTCTTTGGACAGAGTCACACATCACACACTATGTGATTCCACACTAACCCATCTTGGTCAAAACACCTGAGGCAGGAGAATGGCGGGAACCTGGGAGGCGGAGTTTGCAGTGAGCAGAGATCGCTCCACTGCACTCCAGCCTGGGCAACAGAGTGAGACTCCGTCTCAAAACAAAACAAAACAAAACAAAAAACACCCAGACAGGCAAACAATCTTATAATGAGCTTCGATCATCCTCAATGCAAACCTCCTATGGAAAGGGCACCTCCAGGGTTTGTCCTCACAGGGGCGGTGGCTCAGGGCCCAGGTCATGGACTCACTCCCCAGCTTCTGGGCCGCCAAGGTGAACAGATCCATTGTCCCTCTCAGAGTCTGTGGACCCCAGGGAGAGTGCAGCTGCCCTGGGTTGGCTCAGTAGATGACTGTTGTCGTGACCATCTTCACAATCAGATATTCCCTCTCTCTTTCTCTCAGAGGCATCTGTCATAGTCTTGGATTAATGTGACCTTTAGCTGCATTTCAAACCAACCTCTAAGCAAAGTTCCAGGCCCCTTGCTAGGAAGTGGTGAAGAGCCAGGGACCGAGGCACACAGCTGACACCTCCTGGACATCCACGTCTGCGGTTATCAGCAGGTGAAACCCCCGAAATTTCTCTTAACATCCTACTTCTGTGATTAAGTTGTGTAATTATTTGCTGTCCTGAAATTCTAGGCAAAGAGAAAAACAACATCCCCAAAAATGGGCAAAGGAAGAAATGGTTCAAAGAGGAAAGATTAATCGAGAAACTTGGGAAGGAAATGGAGCTGCCTCGTTTGACCTCTAGAGCCAGGTGGAAGGATTTGGTGTTTGTTGTTTAATATTGTAACTACTATTTAACCTTATCAATGAAATCACATTATTAATCAAACCATATTGTTAATCAAGCCGTCAACAACTCTTGAATGCACAAACCAGGAGCTGGGAATGAGCTAAGCCACCGGGGCCGGTCCCAAAGGCAGCCGAATCTCTCATCTGTGGTTGAGGCGCTGGGGTTTGCAGCCCTGGTACGATATTAGCACGACAGGCCACTAGGTGGCGATGTCATACCTCTCTGTGCTGAGCCTTAAACTCCCAGATTCAAGACATCTACAATGTGAGATTCCACGCAAACAAAATCACTAGATTATGACAAGGGCACTCCCTCTACCTCAAAAAATCCACAAGAAGGCACGTCACTAAATGGTAACAGATAATGTCTCAGAGAATGCTGAGGGGATGGCAGGGAGGAATGCAGGAAAGAGCAGGAAAAGAACTTTCTCTGAGGCAGGGGCATCGCAGCACTATTTATAAAAGACAGAGGCGGGAGCCGCCCAGTGCCCTCAGTGAATGAATGGATGAGCCTGCATGGGTTATGTCCCGGCCATAACAAGGAATGCAGTGCTGACACATGCTGCCACGTGGATGAAATCCGAAAACCTCATTTTAACTGAAAGAAGCCAGACACAAAAAGTCACATATTGTATGATTCTTTTTCTGTAAAATGTCCACAATGGGCAAATCCATAGAGATAAAAAGCAGATTAGTGATTACCAGGAGCGGGAGGAAGTGGTGAGAGAGAAGAGAATGACTTCCTTTTTTTTTTTTTTTTTTGAGATGGGGTCTTGCTCTGTTGCCTAGGCTGGAGTACAGTGGCACGATCTCAGCTCACTGCAACCTCTGCCTCCTGGTTTCAAGCGATTCTCCTGCCTCAGCTTCCTGAGTACCTGGGATTACAGGCACCCGCCACCACACCTGGCTAATTTTTGTATTTTTAGTAGAGACAGGGTTTTGCCATGTTGGCCGGGCTGGTCTCAAACTCCTGACCTCAGGTGATCCACCCGCCTCAGCCTCCCAAAGTGCTGGGATTACAGGCGTGAGCCACCATGCCCAGCTGGGAGTGGCTTCTAATGAGGTTTCTTTTTGGGTGATGAAAATGTTCTGGAATTAGTGGTGATGGTTGCACAATTTTGCAAAATAGTCTAAACCATTGAATTGTACAGTTTAAAAGTGTAGATTTTATGGTCTATGAAATAAATCTCATTTTTTATAGGTTTAAAAAAAAAAAAAACATGGAGGGACTTTCTGCTTCATAGGTTCCACAACTGAAAAACAGATTTCACTGGCCGGAAAAGCATGTGAAATAAGGATGCAGCAGAGGAAGAGCTGTGCCTCCTGTCTGTGACCCTTTGCCAGGGCAGATCCAGAGACACTCAGGGAGCCAGGCCAGAGCTTACAGTCCCGGCTTTCTTCAGAAATGAAGAGCTCATAGGACCTACAAGTCAAATTCCTAGTTGGATGAGACTAGAATTTTTTTTTTTTTTTATACAGGGTCTCACTGTCTTGTCCAGGCTGGAGTGCAGTGGGATGATCTCAGCTTGCTGCAACCTCTGCCTCCTGGGTTCAAGAGACTTTCCTGCCTTAGCCTCCTGAGTAGCTGAGATCACAAATATGAGCCACCACGACAGGCTAATTTTTTGTATTTTTTTGGTGGAGATGGGGTTTTGCCATGTTGCCCAGGCTGGTCTCGAACTCCTGAGCTTGGGCAATCTGCCCGCCTCTGCCTCCCAAAGTGCTAGGATTATAGGCGTGAGCCACCGCGCCTAACCTAGAATTCTATCAGCCTTCCACCCTTTCTCTCCTGAAAGGAATTAAGGGCTGATATCACCAACTCACCGTCCTGAAGAACAGTTCTAGGAAATCTCGATACTCCTGGCTGCCTGCGTTGCGAAAGGATTCTGAGTACCTGACATTTGCGATTCTGACCTTTCCAATGAGCTTCCGGGCCGCTGCAGGATGGAGGATAAGCACATTTGGAGTGTATTAGATAACAAAGTAACATTTCAATATTAATAAGCGTATTTTCATGTCCGTGAAGAGCATCACACCAAGGCCGCCCTGTGTTCTAGAAAGAAGGAATAGTGCCAGGGCTCAGTGACACAGTCCATCAGATGCAATTTCAGGAGAGAAAGGGTGGAAGGCTGATAGAATTCTGAGGTTAGGCGCGGTGGCTCACACGCTATAATCCTAGCACTTTGGGGAGGCAGAGGCGGGCAGATTGCCCAAGCTCAGGAGTTCGAGACCCAGCCTGGCAACATGGCAAAAACCCCATCTCCACCAAAAAAATAACAAAAAATTAGCCCCTGTCGTGGTGGCTCATATTTGTGACTCCAGCACTCCAGGAGGCTAAGGCAGGAAAGTCTCTTGAACCCAGGGAGGCAGAGGTTGCAGCAAGCTGAGATCATCCCACTGCACTCCAGCCTGGACAAGACATGAGACCCTGTATAAAAAAAAAAAAAAAAAATCTAGTCTCATCCAACCTAGAAGTTGGACTTGTAGGTCCCTATCGCCTCTTCCATTTCTGAAGAAACCGGGACCTCTGTAAAGCCTGCCTGCTCTGAAGTTGTCTCTGGATCTGCCTGGCAAAGGGTACACAGGAGGCACAAGCGCTTCCTCTGCTGCATACTTTAATTTCACATGCTCTTCCCGGCCAGTGAAATCGTTTTTTCAGTTGTGGAAACCTATGAAGCCAGAAAGTCCTCCATGTTTTTTTTTTTAACCTATAAAAAATGAGACATTTTTTCATAGCCCATGAAAATCTACTTCACTTTTAAGACTGTAACAATTCAATGGTTTAGACTATTTTGCAAAAATTGTGCAACCTGCACACACTAATTCGCAGAACATTTCATCCACAAAAGAAAACCTCATTAGAAGCCACCTCCCCAGCTGGGCATGGTGCGGCTCACGCCTGTAACTCCAGCAACTTTGGGAAGGCCTAGGCGGGTGGATCACTCGAGGCTCAGGATTTGAGACCAGCCCGGCCAACATGGCAAAACCCTGTCTCTACAAAAATACAAAAATGTAGCCAGAGTGCCTGGTGGCGGTGCCTGTAATCCCAGGTACTGCGAAAACTGAGGCGAGGAGAATCGCTGACCACACACACACACACCGAGGCAGAGGTTGCAGTGAGCCTGAGCATCCGTCCCACTGATCTCCACTGGCAACAGAGCAAGACCCCATTCTCACAAAAAAAAAAAAAGGAAGTCCATTATCTTCTCATCCTCCACCCTTCCCTCCCGCTCCCTGGTATCACTAAGTGCTGCTTTTTATCTCTATGGACCCTTTGCCCATTGTCGGACATTTTTACAGAAAAAGAATCTCATACAATATGTGACTTTTGTGTCCCGCTTCTTCAGTTAAAATGAAGTTCGATCATCCACGGGTGGCACATGTGTCAAGCACTGCCATTCCTTGTTATGGGCGGGGACAATAACCCATGCAGGCTCATCCATTCATTCACGAGGGGGCGCACTGGGCGGCTCGCCGGCTGCGTCTCTGTTATCACACAACACGCTGCGACTGCCTCAGAAGAAGTTCTTTTCCTGCTCTTCCTGGCATTCTCCCTGCCATCCCCTCCAGCATCTCCTGAGACATTATCTGTTACCATTTAGTGACGGTGCCTTCTTGTGGATTTTTTGAGGTAGAGGGAGTGCCCTTGTCATAATCTAGTGATTTTGTTTGCATGAATCTCAAACATTGTAGATGTCTTGGAATCTGGGAGTTTAAGGCTCGCACAGAGAGTAGACATCGACCACCTAGTGGCCTGTAGTGCTAATATCGTAACCAGGGCTGCCAAACCCCAGCGCCTCAACCACAGATGAGAGATTCGGATGCCTTTGGGACCGGCCCCGGTGGCTTAGCTCATCCCAAGTCCCTGGTTTGTGCATTCCAGAGTTGTTTGACGGCTTGATTAAACAATATGGTTCTGATTAAAATGTGGATTCCATGGTAAGGTAAATAGAGTTAACAATATTAAACCACAAACCCAAATGCCCTTCCACCTGGCTCTAGAGGTCAACGAGCGCAGCTCCATTTCCTTCCCAAGTTTCTTGATATCTTCCTCTTGAACCCATTTTCTTCTTTTGCCATTTTTTCGGGGATGTTGTTTTCATGTTTCTTGCCTAGAATTCACCCACAGCAAATAACTTACACCAACTTCTAATCACCAGCAGTAGGATGTTAGAGCAAATTTCCGGGGTTTCACCTGCTGAT